CGTCAATCTCAATTCATTATCACCGTCCGACTAAGAATTATTTACCTTTATGATTGGATTGTTCCTGATCCTAAAGCTTGATTTACTTACCAAAATATGCTACTATATTAAAGACCCTATCAAATTAAGGAAGCTCACATCGATAGTAAGTCTTCTTTCAGGCCTTTGCAAAATTCACATAGTTTTTGCAAAATACGTGAGGATTTTCTAACAAATAGTATTCAAAATCCCGACATCTGAGTTAGTTAAGCACTAAGGGACGGAAATTCGCTGAATAAAACTTTTCTAAAAACCGAACTTGTGGTACGTTTTTGTGTTCGTCTCCTTAGCTCCTCTAGACTAACGAAAGGTCTATGCGTATGTCAGTGAAGGACCTACGTTTCAATTGTAGCCTTGTACGCATATCTCCTGGTTCTTTGGTTTCCTGGGGTTAAGTTTGGTTAGCCTTTCATAATATTCAGGTTAACAAGAGGCCACTGACTTCAGTTTACAGGTTAAAAAGGATGGACGTACCTGTAAATAAAAGGGGGTTTTCTCCACTATATTTATCTTGTCAAAGTATTATGAAAACATTACCTTTTCTAAGGAAACTTCTTCGACACTACGGCGTGCCTCAGAAGATAGTCAATATCATACAGAACTCATATGATGGATTACACTGCAAAATCGTGCATGGAGGACAGTTGACAAAGTCGTTCGAAGTGAAGACCGGTGTCAGGCAAGGTTGCTTACTCTCACCCTTTCTCTTTCTCCTGGTGATCGACTGGATCATGAAGACGTCAACGTCTGAAGGGAAGCGCGGGATACAATGGACATCTGAGATGCAGTTGGATGATCTAGACTTCGCAGACGATCTGGCCCTTCTATCCCAAACGCAACAACAGATGCAGGAGAAGACAAACAGTGTGGCAGCAGCCTCATCAGCAATAGGTCTCAATATACACAAAGGGAAAAGCAGGATTCTCCGATACAACACAGAATGCACCAATCCAATCAAAATTGACGGAGAAGATTTGGAAGATGTAAAAACCTTTACGTATTTGGGCAGCATCATTGATGAACAGGGTGGATCTGATGCAGATGTGAGGGCGCGGATCGGCAAAGCAAGAGCAGCATATTTACAACTGAAGAACATCTGGAAGTCAAAGCAACTGTCAACCAACACCAAGGTCAGGATTTTCAATACAAATGTCAAGACAGTTCTACTGTATGGGGCAGAAACCTGGAGAACTACAAAAGCCATCATCCAGAAAATACAGGTGTTTATCAACAATTGTCTACGCAAAATACTTCAGATCCATTGGCCGGACACTATTAGCAACAACGTACTGTGGGAGAGAACAAACCAGATCCCAGTGGAGGAAGAAATCAGGAAGAAGCGCTGGAAGTGGATAGGACACACATTGAGGAAAGCACCCAACTGCGTCACAAGACAAGCCCTCACATGGAATCCTGAAGGTCAAAGGAAAAGAGGAAGACCAAAGAACACATTACGCCGAGAAATGGAGATAGACATGAGAAAAATGAACAAGAATTGGATGGAACTAGAAAAGAAGGCCCAGGACAGAGTGGGTTGGAGAATGCTGGTCAGCGGCCTATGCTCCATTGGGAGTAACAGGCGTAAGTAAGTAAGTAAGTAAGTATTTTTTCTAAGGTAATCTATCATTTATGCTGTAGCAAAATCTCTGCGCAGTGCTTATAAAAATAATAATAATTATTATTTATTATTTTTTCATAGTCTTGGTTTTTCACAAGGTGTAAGTTTTTCTATTCTTTTTACATTCAAACCCAGCTCTGTTAGTGCCTGATATATTAGAAAGTTGCATCATCCTCTAAAACTAATATATGGCCTGTATACTCTTACTGAATCAGTCTCTGAAAAGCAAGAAGTATTTCTCCGGTTCTTGAAAACGCTTATAGCAATTTCGACCAGAAATAATGAAAGTAGGCATTCTTCCTGAATAGCCATCAATTCTGTTTCACATCGTTTTATCAATTTTAATATAACCGAAAGTTTTGGGGCTAGACGTTATCGAGGAAGAGATATTCCCCCTCAATATACATATCAAAAGCTGGTCATAACACTTTAACATCGAGGGGAAGTGATCTCTACTTTATACAAAGAAATGCAGATATTATGAATCCTTGGTCAATACATCTGTGTTCTGAAGCCTGTTGGAGAGCTTTGAGCTGACTCATAAACTGTTCAAGCAAAATACCACCCTGAAAATCGCGGCGCTTCGAGCCTTTTTTTGTCTGCTGAGGATTTTGTTTGTCAAAAACACAAATCATTACTCCTACGGAAAAGTTTCTGTTATTTCCATAAAATCTGTAGTATTATTTATAAATATCTTAAGTCCGATATGTTTTCTGATTGTGTTTTTTTACTTTACAGTGAACTTCCGATTTTCACTTGTCAAGCCCATGTATTTACAATTAACCCTCAAACAAAGAAGTCATGGATTCCGTCAAGCAGTAAAGCGGTCGATGTTAACTTCTTTTATGACTCCAATAAACACTGTTATCGAATAATTAGTGTTGAAGATTCTTCTGGTTCAAAAAAGGTGATTAGAATTTCATTAAATACGCTATTATCATAATTTAAAATCATTAACATTAACCACAGTAAGTGATAAGATCTTTAGTCGGGTATATCTAAGCGTCATAGATCTTAGGCCATACACTGTTTGAGTGAAGTATGTAGTAAAGACCAATTGTGGCACAACACTGTACAGAATGAATTGGACAGAATGAGTTGTGACTGTAGATCCAATGATTAATAACCGAGTGGAACATGGCGCAAAGTTTGATTGGCATGAATTAAATGATAAGACTAACACACTGATTACTTCACTTCAGATAGTTAGACTAGGGATTTGTCAAGACCAGTTCTAGATTACACTCTAGAATCAACATCTCTCTAGCGAGTCACTCAGACTGACCAATTAAAGTAACTTACCATGTTTATCTGAAATAACTGAAATTACTAATTTGGAAAATTCAAATATTTTCCGAGAAAATAAAACTATGATGGGATATTTTTAGTCCGATTTCATCTTGTTGTGTGATTTTTGTCTAGAATTCGGCTTCTCAAAAAACAGGTAGATGTAAATACAAGTAAAAAAAGATGTATATTCGTTTGGTTCACGTTCGATCATCATTCTTTTAAAACTACAAAACGTCATTACACTCACCAATTTAAAATATCGTCAAATTTTGATACTAGTACTACTAAGTAGATGGTAAATAACATTGTTAATCTACGTAAGTTTGTCTAGTGTAAAATTTTAGTCACGGTTAAGTCGTTTTTCTGCTGAAAAAAAACCCACTCACCTATGAAGATAAAAAAATATGGTGTGAAGTTCGTCGTTTCTATTTACGTATCTAAATAATAACATTACGTATAGTCATCAAAAATATTTTGACTGTCTATATATTTTTTTCTTCTTGAAACATAAACGTTTTCAAGATTTTCTTAGTGTAGTAATAGTTAAAATTTGAACCTGTATATATTTCAAATTAGTTTTTCTAGTACCGGTAATCACTTAAAACATATGTACTACCAAGAAACTTGTGCTATTAGGTACTATCTATGCCAGATAGAGAAAGCTTCAAACAATCACTTTAGAGTAATTTAATCATTAGCATTATTGAGGGTGGGTAAGGTCATATACCTCCATAAAGATACTTTCATATAGCAGGATGTTGTCACCCATATCATTAAAGTTCTATTCGTCGTCTCCATATGGAGTCAATGTTTTTTGTTTGAAAACGGAAAATGTTAAACGGTTAAATTTGATCAATAGTCTGTCAAGAAGGAGTTGGGAAACTTTTTTCCAATCAGTGCATAAAAGTTTTAATATCTTAAAGAAATGAATAAAGCACCAAGCTATTCTGATCACCGACAACCGCATAAATACAACTTTTAACAGTCACCTTATGGGTTAAGTGTTTGCTTCATGAGTTTAACCATAGTTTTTTAAAACAACTACCTATTCCGGTCTATACAAATTAGTAGCAGAACAATCGTTGGATAAGCGTATATCAATTTTTAACATTTAAATATCCCTAATTTAGGTTATTATTAATAGTACATTGACGGAAAAAATGACATTCAAGAAGACTTCACAAAAATTCGGACAATGGGCTGATTCGAAAACTGGTGGAGTCCATGGTTTGGGGTTCAGCTCAGAAGCAGACTTAACCATGGTAAGTTTTAAAAAAGTGTACAGGAATTTATTTCTCATTATTTCGATACCTTTTGTTCACTTATAAAATATATGGTACCCTTGAACTACAAACTGGCATATATATTATAAAATCATATCTAAACATTGAACTAAAATCAGTGTATCAATAGGAATTGAATTAATGATCGATAATTGTGAATCACTTCTGTTGACTTTGCATAAGGTACTATCCTTAAAATGTTAGGTTAAATTGTTGATATGTTTTTGTATTCAACTTCTTTTCAGGTCGTACCGTGTATAACGTCAAGTTGATTATCATTATTTTATCTAGAAAAAATAGTTGTTAATAGTTTGTCAGGAAATATAATAAAAGTCAGGCATTTCAAGTGATAGGAAATCTCGGACACTCCTCAGGTGATTGGAAGGTTTAGAACTTAAATAGTTTTAAGAGTTGAATAACCATAAATAGTTTCATGTGTAATGATTGTTTTGTAAATCGTATGAATATTTTGCGGTTAGCTGAATTTAACTGGGTAATGTAGATTAACAATATATGATCTGATAATTACGAATCCGGTACACCAAATGTTGAATTACAGTTCTGTACATTCCTCACTGCAAAATACTACTTGTAATACCACAAAATACACGGTCCCCCCCCCAATAATTTCATTGACACAGCTTATAAATCACACTAAAATTTGATTTCAAAAACTTCAGTAGTTGCCCCTGTTCTGATTGAGTGGAACAATTGTCAAGTGTCACAATTCATATTTAAGTTAAATTTTTTGGTTTGCGTTATATACATTTTGTTAATTTCGCATGAGAGGGATTCTAATATATGATTATTTATGTAACATTAGCTTCTTACTTTTATAAAACTTATATATTACCACTAAAATGTGCGGTGCAAAGGATTTACTATTTTTAAGACCGGTATTGCCCAATGGTAGTATAGCTGAATATGTTGATTATCCATGGAAAACATCTATCACTACTACATGCCATTAAAGTCTGCATTGTGAATTCCCTCTCATATCTTAATTCTTCTAGTTAGTTTTTTTAACCCGATAATTTTTATAGTGAACCCTCAAAGACTAAGATTCCTAACTGATATGATTTTATTAGGTTCTCGGAAAAAACCCAGACTCCCGCTTTAAGATAACAACTACAGTCCAAACTATTCCAAACAATCATAGATTGCTGAGAGTCGTAATCCTACGAAAAATCAGCGATTGTTTCAAATTTTGGAACTTATCCTATTATTATTATTATCTCTTCTACTTATAACCTGAAAACTTGTAAGATACATACTCTAATTTTCAACTAACAAGAAATCTAGGGAGTTGATCTCGCATATCAATCCTGTCATTGGATCATTAATGTTCAGTGAGTTCGGTGGTATGTGTAGAATAGAACTTTAGTTCAATGTGATTTCATAATTTTATAGTTTTTTCATTCAACCACAATTTCACAACGCACTGTCGTTACTTAAATTTTAAAAATTCTGGTTAAACTATTATTTTTCGTACAACTGTACTTAGTTCATGGATTTCATTGACTGTTTTTCACAAAGATTGCTATGTCCAATAAATGCACATCATTTATCTAGCTTCGCATATACATTGCACACAAATGTAAAAAGTTTAGGCTGGTCATTATATATATAATGCTTACAGAAATAGAGTTCTTCAACAATTAAAAGTATAATGATTTTACTGGATAACTAACTTTTACTTAAAATAAACTCTTGATGTAGTTCGTAGTAGTTAGAACTGTTTAAAATAGTGAAATATAAAATTAATCTAATTATCAAGTCTAAAACAGTGTAAAAAAAATTTAGCATTTAACACTAATCTACTCCTATTGGTTAAGTTTGTTACGCGCTTCATTGCACTAAGAGATGATTCAACATAGCATAATATCACTTAGATTCGGTTACCCATTTGAAGGTAATCGGTAAGGAGTTTCGAACTTATATATAATTAGTGGCAACTGTACTAGTTCAGTGGTAAAGTTGCTTACCATGGCGTATTAGGTTATTTGTGGAGTATCAGTATCTTCGATTCTTTTTAATTCCGGATCTATATTGTTGATAGCTCACATCGGTATAAAACCTAGATCCAGAGTTTATACTTGGTTACCACCACAAAATCCATGACATCAAACAAATTCCTCTATAATATCAAGTCACGTAACGTGGTGAGCACACCAAAGACTTTATCGATAGATTCCAGTCACTCTTAAAGACGTTGATTAAAATTTTATTATCCTTATCTATCCAGCTACCTTGTTATCTCACTTCTACCTAAATCAAGTCACAGAAGAGCATCCTTGATCGAAAAACAGGTAGTAGCTGGCAAGGTCTAAACGCACATGAATCACAGTTAATCGATGTTAGTTCTTCATTTTATCAAACAATTACTTTCTTTCCACCTTTGATCCACTTTATTTATTTTCGGTATCTTTTATTATTGCCATTGTCTTGTTTAAATATCACGCGAAAAACGGGATACATAAATATTATCTGTCCACTTTGAATTTTGTTCCAGATTTTCTTTCTATAAATGCTTTTCATTTGTAAATGCCTGATTTCATATTATCACTTATATTTTTATTTGGCTTAACCAATACCCCAATGACCAATTAGACCATTTGATTTTTTTCCAATTGGCAATAATTCAGGTTGACGCTATCTAAACAAGTTATACAGATTTTCAGACTTTATATAAACAAGGAATCCACATATATGTCCCTGTGCGTATATATATATATATATATATATATATATATATATATATATATATAGGATCATACCTAAATACCATACTTTTTGGCGTCATCTACACTCGAACGCACTTATATCTTCAAAATCAATACTCATCCTAAACTGTTCCCTCTCTCTATTCCATCCAGTGTGCAAAATACTATTAAAAATATGAATGATATTTCATTATAAATTATTTACTGAATTTTTCCCACTGTTGTCGGTAGTTTGACATTAGTTTTACTTCGTCTCATAATTTCGTGCTTTTCAAATCAGGCATCATATTTATTTCAAAATGTAGTCACTGGTCTTAGTAATTTGTATTTTTTCCCTGCAGTTCGTTTCTTTCTTTTAGAAAAATATGGCATATATACACAACACACACTGTCATTAGCAGCGTAGCACCTAGTAAGAAGAAAAAAAATATTGATGTAAACCTGTAGCTGTTCAATATGAATGCTCAATCACACCAAACATTACGTAATTCATTAAAACCTCCCTATGACTGCCACATTCTCTATAACTGGGTTGTATTTCTAAACCTTTCATCTGGTCTCGGTTAGAGAAACATGTTACTAACATTTACAAGTGATTGGTCACTAAGTAGTAGTGGCCAATGCCCTGAAAACTGATCGGAATCTATCGATCACGTCCCAATATAACCACTAGTCTAAGTGACTCGGCAGCCCGTGCACCATGTTGGGATGTTTGTTGGTGTGATATAGTCGATAGGAAATACTGTTATTAAGCCATTTGATCTGCGATTGATCTGCAGAGTTTGCTGTTGACTACCTCCAGCTGCCTATCATGTTAGTGAGTGACATTCAACAGCAATCAATCAATCATAAGCGTATAGATACTGATATAAAACTGAAAGTCTAATTATTGATAATACTAATAATGTTTAAAAAAAATGGAGGGTTAATAATGTTTTGAGAAAGACAAGTGCAATAAACAGTGTTGGAATTAAAATTTACAATCCAAGTGATAAATATATTTGCTTCATTCTAACTAATTTTGAAATATTTGATTTAGTGTTCACGCATCATAAATTATGATTATCTTGTGTGACAGCCTCTGTTGATTTCTGATGTCTGATTCATTTACGATATATATTTTCTAAATTATACCAAATACACTAAATAAGGTGAGAAAAATGAAATAAGTAGGATGGTTTAGTGGTAAACCGAATTATGGTGTAGGTGTGTAGTCTAACTCATTCGATAGAATGCGTTGTTTATAATTTCTAACCTACCATTTGAGCCTCAGATGGCATATGAGCTTAGGCACATGACGTCTGTACTCATCTAGTCTATCAGTATCATCACAACACAATCTAAGTCAGTAGTTTCATGAAGTGTTACCAAGTTTCGGTTTGACTGCTATCAACCAGTACTAGAAAGATAAATATGCTAGTCGTTAAAAGGTAAAATTTACACGATAATAATAAAGATAAAATTGTAAATTATTTAGTATTTCTCAGACGAATAACTTTGATAACTAAACTATAGTCGATGTTTCTGTCTAAAGCAATTTAACCAATACCAATTACTATTTCCTCTTTTTATCGAATTGACTAACAATCCATTTTACAGAAAAACATAAATATTTAAACATCAGTGACTGTTAGGCCTATTGTTTTATGATTTACACAACGGGCTCATCTTAATTCAATAACCACTAAAAGCCAAGATGCACTGAACAACTCTTTCTTCCTACTACTCATTCATGAAATATCCCCGGGGTCGCAACCATGATCTTCACATCTGATAGTGAGCTCTTAATCTATAGATTAATGAGTCAGGATCCAATCGTTTACACTTCTCACGTCAGTCAACTCACAATGTTGCGTAACCATCTTCCAATGTCATCGGTAGGTAACTGCCTCATATTGTACATGGCTGTTTTCCTTTAGTCACGGCTTCCTATTAGAACTCCGGGAATTATCCCCTGAAATTAGTCATTAATAAGTAGATGATTTCACTCTTTATTTCCTTTTAAATTTTAATTTGAGACTGCTGTTTTGTAAATATTCATAACTATTCAGAGGATTAAATCCGTCGATCAACAACATAGTTTTTCTCACATCAGTTTCTTTATCTATTTTTTCCCTCGATTCACTTACACTTATCAAGTGGTGCGTAACTAATCTTTTCTAATAGTAATTAAACTCAATTTCAAATGAATAAACAAAGTTATTCAATTCTTAATTTTTCTACAACTCATTTACCAAGTACAGATTTATATGTTTGAGCTTCAGGTCATATTTTCCATGTATAGCATACCGATACTACCAAGTTGTTCAAATCAGAGTAGATGAAATAATGTTGTTTGAGTCTCTTCCTTCATTTTGTACTTTGTTCTTTACCTTAACTTTTGTTTGCTTAGTTAAACCCGTTTTAATAACAAGTTTAGATTAAAACTAACTAATTTAACTATTTGATATAGGATATTTCTTTAAAACACAGATATCTTGTGGTGGGTATTGCTTCATTTATATATGTTCAAACTTCACTGTGTATTCCTAAACGCAAGCCGATGTGAATGAATACCCAATTAGTGATATATGGCGCTATAATTCTGGTTAGCGCTTTTTAGCAAGATTGCTTTTTATGAGCTGGGGTTACTGACCCCATGCCCAACCCTTCTTTACCCGGGCTTGAGACCGGCAGTAACTCTAGAAGAGCTACAGGTGGAGTTAAATAGTGATAGAACGTTAACTAATTGAATAATATGTATGTATATAAACTGGACGTTGTTATTTTATATCATGATTTAAGGATTAATATAAAGTTGTTTTTTCTTAATTATTATTAGTATTAGTATTAGTAGCTGATAAGTCAATATAATCTTCAGACACTATTAGATCGCTTACTTTTTCATGTTTTAAAAAATTATCGTTAGTATTAGGAGATGACGTTTCTGACTTCTGCCAATATTAACTTTTCTGGTGTATTTAAGACTTGTTTACTAAACACCTAATCATCATTGAGTCCGAAATTCTAAAAATTTTCAACTCTCTTAGAGTGGATCCCAGTAGACAGTCGTTTGTGCGCTGTCCGACTGAACGGAACAGTAAGAATCCGGAAAGATAGGGACACTCGTCGTTGCCTTTTCGTCGTCTCTGCCTATTCTCCCACTGACTGCAGCTCAGATGATGTAAAAGATGAGTTTTACAGAAAGCTTTCGGACCTTCTCCGAAAAGCTAAGCGCTCGGATGTAGTAATAGTGGCCGGTGACTTTAATGCTCAAGTAGGTAAACTAAGCGATAAGGAAAGACACCTAGGTAGATCCTATGGTGTCGTGGCTCAAAGAACAGATAATGGCGACCGTCTGTTGCATCTATGCTCAGATAACCGCCTGTTCCTTGCAAATACTAACTTTAAGCATAAGGAAAAACATCTTTTAACATGGCGACCCCCTAATTCGTCCCAACGTTGGACCCAAATAGATCACATCGCTATCAGCCACCGATGGAGGGGCTCGATAGAAGACTGTCGCTCATTCTGGAGCACATGCCTAGATTCAGATCATGCTCTAGTGCGAGCGCGTATTTGCTTGCGTCTTACTGGACGTAGGAAAGATCCTGCAAGGAAACCTCTTAGGGCCCTACTTAATGATAGTCAAGCTAAGAATATATTTCAGGAACAACTAGGAAAACAGTTAGGCAGCCATGTATGCGATGCCCACCCCGATGCAGCATGGAATGATATCCGAAAAGCTGTGGAAACAGCAGTGATATCTGCTAGTAAGGTAAACCAGAAGGTTAGGGAGCAACACTGGATCTCAGCAGCATCTATCTCACTGATAAATGCTCGGAAACACATTCCACCTGGCTCTGAACATAATGAAGAGCGGAGTCAGCTTAAGCGCAAGCTGACAAGAAGTCTACGCAATGATCGCGAACAGTGGTGGGTAGCGAAAGCAAGAGAGATGGAGAAGGCAGTGGCAATAGGTAATAGCAGACAACTGTTTAGACTCGTTAAGGAAACCGGAATTAGTTACCCGACCGTTAGCGAAACAATCTCAGAGAAAGATGGACATATTATTCATTCTCAATCCAGGAGATTGGATCGATGGGCAGAACACTTTAGGGATCAGTTCAACTGGCCTTCAGCCACACTTCGGTTTCCCATGATCTCCAGTCAACCTGAATGGCAAGTTAATGTAGGTCCTCCGTCCCTTTACGAAGTTGAAAACGCCATAGGAAATCTGAAGCGAGGGAGAGCAGCAGGCCCTGACAGGTTTACTCCAGAGATTTTTAAGGATGGTGGTCCAGTATTAGCAATGAGATTAACCGAGGTCTTAGGTAGAATTTGGGAACTGGACGTAATCCCATCTGACTGGTCTCAATCACTGATTGTGCCAGTTTTTAAGAAAGGACAAAAGTCCTCTTGTGACAATCACAGAGGAATCAGTTTGACTAATATAGTGTCTAAAATATTAGCCTCAATAATACTTCGACGCCTAACTAAAGCTCGTGAAGAGCAGACTAGAGAAAACCAGGCTGGTTTTCGACCTGGACGTGGTTGTATAGATCAGATATTCACACTACGTCAGGTTCTGGAACACAGACACACATTCAGACGCCCCACAATGGTAGTATTTCTCGACCTTAAGGCAGCATTCGACTCTATTGATCGTGAGGTTCTATGGCGGTGTTTGTCACTGAAAGGAGTACCAAAGAAGTACATTAACCTTATAAAGGCTCTCTACTCGAACACAACTGGTAGAGTGAGAGCTTATGGCGAACTGTCATCAGAATTGATCACCTCAAGTGGTGTTCGTCAGGGCTGTCCACTCTCCCCATTCTTGTCCAACTTTGTCATTGACGTACTTTTAGAGATAACACTCTCCTCATCTAAATATACAGGGGTTGAACTTCTACCAGGAGGTTCACTTGTTGACTTAGAATATGCTGATGACATAGTTTTATTTGGTGAAGACGCTGACAAAATGCAGAGTCTTCTGACCACTCTAAGCAACAATGCAAGCATGTTCGGGATGCGGTTCTCTCCCTCGAAATGCAAAATGTTGCTTCAGGATTGGGTTACATCGACACCCGAACTAGTGATAGGGAGTGAAGTAGTTGAGTGTGTCGACCGCTTCACTTATCTTGGAAGTCTCATCAGCCCTTGTGGTCTGGTGTGTGACGAAATCTCAGCACGGATACAGAAGGCTCGACTAGCTTTTGCCAACTTGCGTCATTTATGGCGTAGGCGAGATATCCGTCTATCAACCAAAGGACGTGTTTACTGCGCAGCAGTTCGTTCCGTCCTACTTTATGGCAGTGAAACATGGCCGGTAAGAGTAGAGGATATCCGTAGGTTACTAGTATTTGATCATAGGTGTCTTCGAAACATTGCTCGTATATCATGGGACCATCGAGTAAGTAACACAGTTGTTAGGAAACGGGTACTAGGTAAGGATGGCAAATCAATTGATGAAGTAATGAAACTTCATCAGTTGAGATGGCTGGGACACGTGTTACGTATGCCCAACGACCGACTGCCTCGACGTGCTATGTTTAGTGGTATAGGAGTAGATTGGAAGAAAGCTAGGGGCGGCCAAACCAAAACATGGCACAAGTTCATGAAGTCACTGACGAGTGAACTGAGTCATGTTGGTAGGTGTAGACTACCTGGTTGGGGACCGCGAGATGACAGCAACCGATGGTTAGAGACCCTGAATGACATGGCTCAAAATCGTTTGCAATGGCGCAGGTGCATCCACTCTCTGTGTTCTCCCAAATTCTAATCTTCTGAATTCTTCATGTCCTTTTTTTCCTCTTTCCAAATTTCTTTCACTGGATTATACTCTTTAAATAACATCTCCAAACCCTAATCTTCCCGATTACTGCTTATACTCTTATTACCTCTACCACTACGGGATTTGAATCGACAAGTGCATCTCTGTGCTAATGTGGTGTGGCAACTCGAACTGATGTACGTACGTACGTACGAAGTTCTACGTTGTTGCTGACTGACTGACTGACTAGTTAGTTTCCAAAATATTACATAACCAATCCCTAACACTATCGACAAGTACATCTTATGAAGTAATAACTAGTAACCCTCAAGTTGAATGCATTTAAATTTCAGCTTATCTGTTCACAAGTTCATATTCCACTTTATTAAATTCAGTTTAGTCAACTGTTTATATTATTGAAATAGGATTTGATGAAGTAATGTTCAATTGTTAAAATGTAAGCAAAGAATAAACAAAGAATATTGATCAACAGATAATGATATGCTATAATACGATATATGATGAGTAGTGAGTTGTTCACGAGACTGATTTATTCAATTCATCTCTTAGATAAACTAATATTATGAGACAAGATAGTTGCTCAGTAGAAACAGGTTCTTTCAATCTAATAAAATGATTAAATGTTATAGATGATCAAATGGGTTAGGCTTTCTCATTATATCGGCTTAGTAACACTAGCCCTCATTCACAAACATTTTAGTTTAAAGTCCAGTAAGTAAACTTGCACTTGGTTTGAATAAATCGTGTTTTAAAGAAAAAAAAATCCTGGAATTGTTTATTTTTCTTACTGGAAATCTATTCTATCCTATTTCTTTTAAACATTTTAATCAAGGAACTTTAATGTATATAGTTCATATCATAGTAAATGAGTAAGGTAGTTTCAACTGTTGGTTACTTTTTATCAGTGTTTTACGAACTATCCATTTCAACAGTAGGATTATGTTTTGTTAGTTGAATTTTTCAGATCATTTTATCAATCAAAAATACAGACTGGATCATATTTCTAGTCGAATATATATATATATATATATATATATATATATATATATATATATATATATATATATACTCATATATTATCTGTAAAACTGCTTTTTTGAATATATGCTGAGGCGATCACAAAATTACTCAAATTCTGTTAATATTCCCAAGACCTCACTAAGAACAATAATAATAAGCAGTGTAGTTTAAACGGGAATTCTATATACACCTAATCGCTATTATCAAGACTTACTTCTTATAACTGTTACCCCTCGTGGAAGAGCATAGGTAACCCACCAGCATTATCCATTGAACTCTGTTCTGGGTGGTACTTTCCAGTTGCTATGCATTCTTCTGATGTCTGCTTCCAGTTTCTGATGCAATGTGCTCCTTGGTCTTCCTCTTTACCGTTTCCCTTCAGCACTTCAAGTTAGCGCTTGCCTCGTGCTGAAGTTTGATTATTTTCGCAATGTATGTCCTATTCACATCCAACGTCTTTTCCTAATTTCCTCTTTAGATGGGACCTGGTCTGTTCTCTCCCATAGTAGGCTGTTCCTGATGGTATCCATCCAATGGACATTGAGTATCTTAAGTAGACAACTGTTTATAAATACTTGCACTTTTTGATTATGTTTGTAGTAGTTCTCAAGGTTTCAGCCCCGTACAGTGAAACTGTCTTGACGTTCGTATTGAAGATTCTGATATATCTAAAGGAATAATTGTTAAATCTCATTGGACACTGTGAACTTCCAAAATGTCATTTTGTCCCAGATTGATTTTCAAGTCCCTTTTCACTTGACTAAAATATTTATCTAAAAAAACAATGACACCTAACAGTATTTTCATCAGCTTTTGTTTTACTGTTGTTCTGTTGTTTTTTTCTTTTCTTTTCTTTATTCTTCAAGTTTATCAATCAATTTAAACAATGTGTAGATTCAATGAAAACTCAAATTCAACCAGAACCAAATAGTCCATCTGGAATACGTGTACCAGTAAGTTTTTTCGTATTTTAAAGTATTTCTATCGTTTTATTAGAAGTGTTTTATGTTCTCTAATCCAGATAGATACGTTAATTTTGAAACTTTCGTTGTCATTCGTCTAAAAATAGCATCATTAGGACAAAGAAAGCCTCACAACTAAACATTTCAACTCAGAGACCACGAAACCTCCAATATTTTAGTAGTCGAATCCTTCAAGTTCATCTTATTTGGAGTTTGTCAGCTGGAATGAACCTGCATCCCATAATTGACATCCACACTGAAATCTTGAACCCCAATACCTATCCATCGGTCCAAATACCAACTCATTTAATAACCGAGTTGGAGCCTAGATAATAATCGACTTCACATGATATAATATTTATTATTATTATTATTGTTTATATTTTCCTGCTAATTAAATTTTATCGAGTCTCAGTGTAAACATCAAAATTGCGTTACAAATACATTCCTACCCAACGAATCCTAAATTAGGCAAAATGTGCATCCTGGATCCACTATCTATAAAGATATGTTACTATTATTGATTGACTGGTTGATTAAATAATCTGAAATACTTTTAATCTTATGTAAATCATATGATCTTTATTTACACATTACATAAACAGATCATATTTTTTTACACTAAAATATGTAACTTTTTTTCTACCAACCTGGTATTGTTTAATACACTCATAGTTTACTTCCTGATCTCACTTTTTTTGGTGAATTTCTGTAATCCAACATAAATTATACTCATTTATTTGAAAGTAAAGCTACTTTGCCTAATCACTTTCATCTTTATCTTTACTATTCCGTAGAAAATATGATGTAAAATAATCAAGCTTTCTACAATGTTATCCAACATTTTGTTTTTTTTATTTAAACACATAAATATTAGTACAGAGGGGCACCAAAGTGTTCATCCACCACACAATAAAAATGCGATTGTGAAGAGACAGCGGAGGAAAGGTGGGTATAATGGAAAAAATTTTAAAAAATGGAAAGAGATTAGTGTATGAAAGTGAAATACTAATAATATTGATGATGAGAGAAGCAATTCAGTTTCGAAAAATATGACCATAAAGAATCCTCTCAGTTAAAGAATTTACGCTCACTTACAAGGAAAAGGTTACATCACGATCACCACTGACTCATATTCTGAGCTATATCTGATAACGTCTCAATCCAAAGTGTTGCACTATCTCTCAGACCCCAACAGGGAGTCGTAAAGGACCGACAGATGCCAGTCCCTTACAGTATTCTTCGATACCATGACACCATGGTCATATAATGATCCCCTCTTCACTTTTACAACCAGTCCCAGTATCGACAAATAATGCACAATGTGGAATTCCCTGGAACGACATTCGTAGAACATCTACAAGTCACCGAAGTCGGTGTTTCAAGGTGGGGGCACCGAAGTGAACTATCGTCACTGTTCCCGAACACACGTTGCCTAACCTCCACACTGCTAACATAATGTCACTGAATATCAGTTATTCTCCAGAGACAAGGATGATCAAACACACAGGTGCTTAACATTCACAATTCGGAAAGGTCAGGTCTCAAAAGCATAGAGCAAAACTGCTCTTGTAGTGTATCCTACTTATACGGACCGATAAATAAAATGTGTCGAGAATTTGAAGTAGGATTCTTACTGACGGAAGGGGAACATGAGGGGAAGAGAAAAAACAATCAATCCAAGTAGCAACAGGAATAAAAAAACGATGTATTTTAATGTATTGTCTTCATATTTTAAAGATGCAGTGTGTGATTTTGCTTAACACAATAACTGATTTACTCTACTAAAGTCTTCGTGCATTGCACTCTCACTGGTCGGTTGTAGATTACTCGTTTTACAGCTAGACTAACATCACGAAGGCACCAAAGATGGCTCAGATTGGCATAGGTCGCTAACCAGTAGCTTTAAGCGTCTTCAGTTGATCGATCTCATTTCGTGGTGAAAATTACTTTTCGAAAAAAGAAAATCTCCATACAACCAATGTGACTATTAATATCCGAGTTTAAGTTATAAGGAGTTTATACCGTTTACTGTTTAAGGTTATACCAATCCTGCCCTTATTCAAAACAATCCCTATTTCTGGAAAGATGTTTTTTCCTCACATTTCCTTAGAAGTTCTCAGAAGTTAGGCTGTTCAGCTGCTTCGTTGTTTTACATTTTATATCATCTCTTCATAACTATTCTATTTTTCGAAAACATAAAAATAGTAGATTGCACCGGTAAATGAAAAGAGTAATCTATCCGAGCGATAAAAATTGGTAACAGTCAGAAATTCATGATGAAACACTTAATGAATACTGTGGCGTATTGTTGTATATTTCCTTATGAGGAGATCACAACTCTCATCATATATTAGTAACTGAAGTGTACAATGCGACTGGTCGTTTTTTAGTTCCAGTAGTAACTAACATACTTAGAAGTTCAGTTTGGGTATTTATTGATGAATAGATTACATACAGATATAACTGTTAATCAAATCTATTCCAAGTAATTTAATGTCTCATCCTTTGTATTCATTTCTAATTTTCAGTATTTAACTTAAATAAAAACTGTTTACATTAGTAACAATGGTATAGTTAGCATCTCAATTGATTGATTATTGGTCTTGTGTATGTGTACTTTTCATATTTGCTTTTCGTGGGAAAGTGTAATTTTTACTACTTTTTACCTCGTCATCGCTTGAATGTTTTTTTTCTTGCGATTATCTTTTTGTATAGTCAATGATTCATTGGTAGGTGTAATCTAATCAGTAAACTATCTATTTAACGGTGATGCAGCAAACCCAGACGATGACAATAATAATAATAATAATAATAATAGTGGAAAATGTGAAATAAATTACACTTGACTAAGTAATTACCTAACTTGTCATTTTAGACGTAGTTTTTGCTTGTCTCAGTTTACTAGTTATACATTTCTACAACTTCTATCCGAGACTTATTTTAATGCGTCCATTATTGTGCGCGCATATATGTATGTGTGTATCAGTGTACTTGGTCAAAATATCAACTGTTTATCTTGTGAACTTGTTACATACTTGTTCAAAAACACATCTTAGTTGTATCCTAGACTCCAGAGTTGTTTCACCCTGAACAAAAAGCAGAAGGCGGGAAACATTGGAAAAGCCTTACTCTCAAAATTTGTTTATGTACAAAATGGCGATAATAGTTATACGGAATTATACATAAGTTGATAACAAAGTCAGCATTTGTCCAATCATTATAAAGAACGTACATTCAACCACTTTATAAGTTTTTTTTTCTGTAAGTTCCTAATGAGCACAGATTAATCGAAGTGTTTTCATCATCTTTCATAGCTGCTGTAAACTTTTTCAAACAATTATCAAAGGGTCCCAACAATGAAAATCAGTTGCACAACCGTTAATCATAAAGTGACATTCCATATTTGCTTAATCTTAATCTTGTAACTTATTTTTTAAATTCATTATTGAATTGAGTAACATTGTCTGTTTCATTTTATGGTAAAATTATGATTTACAGATAAGCCTATTGGAATCGAAAACTCAACTTTGAAGTTTTTGCTTGAGATTCAAGTACCATGTATAACAAGCAGTAAAAATACCTCTGTATAGTGTTCAAAACATCCAACAGGATTGCGAATGATTATTTTTTGTAATCATGGATTTAAAATGATATTGTTAAGTGTAGTAAATGCCTAATTCTATCTCACCCTGAATACTTGATCCTGAAACAAACATTATTCTCGTGGCAATATGTTTTATGAATCAACCAATAAGATAGCCCCTCGTGTTTACGTGCGAACTTTAACATTATAGCTGATGTCAGTTCGGGAATAAATTATTAACCCTAAACATCCAATCCGTACTCTAAATAAATAAATTAATATATTTGTAATATCCCAACGAGTAGAAAAATTAAATTTTCTGACGTCTCGTGACTCAGTGTAAGCCATTTCTTCAGCGAATAACTAACCAAATCGAAATTAATCCAAGTTTATATTCTTGTGTTGTTCCTTTGTACTATTTAAACAGAATAATTTTAATTTGGTTATTTATTCTCTGAAGAAGTGGTTTACACCAAGTCACGAAACGTCGGAAAATTTAATTTTTCTACTCATTGGGATATTACAAACATATTGATTTATTTATAACAATCTACCTAATACTCAGTTTATTCGAAATCATCAGGTCAAACCCTGATAATGATACTTACTTACCCTAAATAGCTAACCCTAACTTGAACCAATATACGGCCTCTTATAAATGTTTTTGGGTTCTTATACAGACGATCTATATCCATTCGGAAGAATTTAGATTTGTTGTTCTTTCATTTATAAACAGAGCAGCCTGGAAAAGATATTAATAGATTTATCGACCGTAAAGTCTGTTTATACTTTTCAATATTATTGTTTTCTTTCCCATAAACCATCGCTTTCTGATTGACTGGTTAAAAACCGGCTGGAAATTTGTCGCGCTTTTTTGAACTCATCCGCAAAGTATGGTTTTGCCTATTCTATAATCCCGTTTTTATTTGTCTTTTAGTTGTACTACATACGTTTAAATTCACAATAAAGTTGGTTCTATTATTTCCTGTCATATATATATATATATATATATATATATATATATATATATATATATATATATATATACTATGTTTCTTTCATTTATTCCGTGTTCACTGATGAAGTAAGAAAAACTAATGAAACCAATGTCGGTGTACAAAATAACCAATATTTCAATAATCACATGTTTGTTCACTATTTCTCTGATAGAGAGAAAAAACCAAATGATGATTGCTTGTGTATCTGTCAGGTTTCATGTGTCTTCTTTTCCGTCATGATTAACATCTCACTCACCTCCAATAAATTTATTAATTAATTTCAATTATGCAATATTATACACATGTATTAGGTCATAACCTATTCTTAATATTTATCATTACGTGTTTTTTTGTTACTTGAAGTTAATTTGTTTACCATTCATTCACGATAACACCAACATAACCGG